TCCGCGTTTTACCCTCTATTCCGCGTTTTACCCTCTATTCCGCGTTTTACCCTCTATTCCGTTTCCGCTTTTCCGGTTCCGCCATTCCGGTTCCGCCAGTCCGTTCCGTTCCGTTTCCGCGTTTTACCCCTTTTACGCACATTCATTCGAGAGAATTGGAACATAACATGCACTGGGGAAGCATTAAAAGATATTAAGAAAGATATACGTATTGAACTCTCTCCTCCGCAGAGCCTCCGCAAGTATTTACAAATAACTTACATGAAGTTTCCTGAATAAAAGTGAGCGCGCGCGGTGTGATGGGAAGATTGAAATGACGTTGGGGAGGCTCTGCCAGTGCAACGAAGTATAGTTTTTTAACCAAACTAGCTGTTTGACCTTTTTAAACATGAAATCGACGGAAATGTGAAAGAAATTGAAATTAATCTTCATAATCTGAGTATCGAAGTTCAATAGAGTTATTTTTATAAAGAAATGTTGCAATTAAGAGGATATTTATAATTAGATAGCTCATATCCGTTGCTATTCGTTTGCAATTTCTCAATATTTTTCGATGCAAATCGACGGAAGAAGATATTGATATTTAATTCACCCCAGGATACTCAAATACGCCTGGAAATGAAAGTCGAAAACATGTTTTGACACCCCCGATGGTTGATCGAACTTCGCTACAAACGATTATATACGCCATATTGATTGCATTAACTCGCAGAGGCTTCCTCTATTTAGCTCTTCCCATCACACCTTGCGCGCTCACTTTTCCCTCACTAGAAACTTCATGTAAGCCTCTGCGGAGGAGAGAGCGTATTGAAGTTTTACTTGTTGTGGATTTAATCAAGCTGTCCCCCTGACGGTCTCGACGATCCCGCGTGTTGCTATATAATAACAACGAATAAAAGAGGTCGTTTTACACTTCCCAATGTTTTACGAACTAGCTTTTACGGATGCAACGATATTCGACAATATTTAGAATAACTCAGGCAGGTAAGGATGGCTTCATTTATTTGTGTTGACAAACATGAAGATATTGAGCTTTTAGTGTTCGATATAGAAGTGTTAATTTAAAACAATGTGATTTCATGAGTTTATCGGCATGTTAATTTGTGCTGGAAATTCCCGATTACCACTCAATTGTGCATGGTTGTTAATACATTTTCCCTCCGAATGGAAGAAATTTCCCAATTTGCACCAACTCATACATGTCATTTGAAAACCTGGGGTCTGGTATCGGCATCCATTGACAGTTCTGCAGTAAAACATGATTTCTATGATTCTATTGGCATTAAATTTTGGGACAAAGCATGATATACACTGTCTGAAACGCTCATTTGAAACGGCAGCATTTTCCCCTTGCGATAGTAACTTCCAGTATACAGCTATTTCAATTAAGGTTGTCCACGAGCAAAGCGGAAAAGTCGAATACGAGAGTGAGAGGATGCTGGGAATCCTAAAAAATTTATGAATTTTCTTAGCGATTTCCAACAGCTTTTCGCCATCGTGTTCGACTTTAACGCTTTGCTCGGGGACAACCTTAATTGAAATAGTCAATATTATATATTATATATATGAAATATTATATCTACAAAAGTCAATAATACTAATAGTATCGCGTGCGAATACATGAATTTCGGTGTCGTCATAAAAAAAATACACATGGAATATAATTGATTAATGTAGGCCTAGTTGCATGTTTATGTTAGGATTGCAATGGCTCTAAATTAATGGCATGCAGTGTCTTGCAATGTAGCCTAAATTAAGGCTTCCAGCATTCGTCATACATTGTCAGAAACAATTCCACTTGATCTTCGAGATTTGGTTGTGAAATTATTTTAATTAAAAGGCGGCTGAAATCACTGATATGGAAAAAATGTTATGTTCAATATATATGTTGCGACATCGCGCTGATGAAAGTGTTCGTAGTGTGATTCATGGTTTTGATTTTTTAAAACATTGCTTATACCAACGTCTTTGCAGTGTTACAGAGAGCCAATTGTATGCGATTTGTGTCTGATATTATATTGACACGGAAATTTTATTTAATTGAAATATGTTAGCACAGTATATGAAAACTACAGTAGGGCCACTCAGTGTAAAAAAGTGTCCACATTGTTTACTGGCTGCCAACCTAATTTACATATTGGCAGCCAGTAAATGGCAGCAGTTCACTATAAAATTGTATTACAGAGTAATGAGTTTGGCCGCGTAAAACACCTGGGACCTAGCTTAAATAATTCCCACTTTTCTCTCCCCTAAGTGGCCCTACTGGTTGTCTCCCTATACTGTGATGTTAGTCCTCATCAACATGTTTTGTGTGATTTTCTAAAGAATTGCACTGATGCATACATAATGTAAGAGCTTGGCCAGTTCCCGTTGCTGCATGGCTTCCCGCTGTTCACTATGTGAAAATTTGTCTTTGCCTTGAAAATACAGCCCGGCCGAAAAGATATGGAAAATAGCTCACTGTGTGTTTATCGGTATCTCGCTATATGAACGATGAGAAAATTTCACTAAACTGATAACGTTTAAATTAAACTACGTATCCGCATATAAGGTATGCAATTCATTCGAACAACAAAATTCAGAATAATTATTTTAATTGTAGCAGCGAGATAATTATATATCTTTAAATCAGATAGGTATGTGAAAACTGAAGCAAACATTCTTCTAGATTTTTCTCGCCAAAACTACTTAAGCTCAGCTCCTCATCTATTTTGTAAAATAATGTTAACTAAAATAGTTTCAAATCAATCTACATGTATATAGAAAGTACCGGCGTATAGTAACATCGCAATTGGAGATTTGGAATGTTTGTCGCAATTAAAGGCAAGCAAATCGGCACTGTCAAAATTTGAAAACAACGTTAACAGTCCGTAAGATGATTTGAAAAGTGATATAGCTACAAGCCAATGTCATTTAATTGTTTCTATAATAGCTACATTAAATTATCTAACATCGTAGGATTTTGAGATACGTTTCCATAGATAGATTATTCAATCTCACTAGACTAATTTAATCGCTGGAACTCGACCTGCGTATATATGGCAATTGACAAAAACGTAGACAAATTAAAACTTACCTATGTATTGAGCGTATCTTTAGCATATTATCTTTCCCTAACGTTGATTCGGCTAAATTACAATTTATTTTACGGGCTCTACAAACAAACAAACATTTGTTTCTTGGAAAAAACTGTCTGACCTTTTCCAAGTATTAGTCTTTTATGCATATATATATACTGTAAGTACTTGCATAAAACGCAACCTCGTACCCAGTAGGCGTTTTCTCTCCGCTGCAATTAAAAGTGCACTAAAAGACTATACATTCCTTTCGTAGTAGGTTCCGCGTTCAATAATATATTACAATTGTACACTGCCATGGGAAATACAAAGGTTCTTTTGTACGTAAGGAAAACCTGAATAAACATCGGCACAAAATTCTAGTCGGCTGCACTTGTTCATTTGATTAATCTTACGAACAGAAAATCTATATAACTACAATTGAATATCCAATAAAATGCCCGCATCGGGTTTAAGTAAACCGTTGGCGTTGAAGATAGTAAATCTTTTGAGCAAGGATATAATGATGTTATTTAAAATATGAATCGTGCTGAGCTTGTTCTGAAAATCATTATAACAACAATTACCCTTCAAAAGTTAAAAGAAGGAAAAATTGGGGAAATTTCCAGTATAGAAGCATAGTAGACTGAACTGATATATGATCCATACTTTTGATTACCCAATCGAAAATATTAAATGCAAGAACAGGTGAAACCGAAACGTCATGCAGTGGCGCAGCTGGCAAAAGGCAATTGGTCATGCTATGCAAAACAATATGCGCTTACATATAGTCTAAAAGCAATACATTTCCAAAGGTTGGAAGAAGTTAAAACTTTTCATAGCATGCCTAGCTGCTATGTCGAGCTTTGCCACTGCAAACTCAATTAATTTGTAAAACGTAAACCCTATGTTTTTGTAAGGCATTCCCGAAATACAAGAAATGTGTAAATAGATAGATAGATTCAAGCATGAATTTCAAAATATTGTATAAATACGAGGGTAAAAATTGGGGGAGAGGGAGGCACAAAAGAACTTGCTCGACCTTTGCATTAAAAACATTCCATCTAAACGGGGGAGGGGATTTCGAAGGCGCTAAAATTTCTCGAACCGGCTTACAGGTTTCTTGCATTTCCGTCTATATTTTCTCCCATCTAATTTATTTCCCCCATCTTTTCATCCAACTTACGTTTATAATTCTAAAACTAGAAAATACATGCATGCAGAAACCCTCGCCTTGGTGACAAAACCATTCTATTTTCCGAACATGAAGTATTTAAAGTAGTTGTCATGGCAACACGAGAATTTCATTTGAATAAGAATATTTTACAATAGAAAAATGCCCTAAAAATATCACTTTTAATTACAAAATTATCAATTTCCCAAACATGTATGAGTATATGTCAATTTAATAGTAAAATGCAACCACAAACGCTTCGCAAAAAAGTTTTAAAATGTTCTTTATAAAACTAAACTGTCTTTATCGATAAACTTTGAGTTTGAAATAGAATGTAAATAACTTTACTTTCTTTTTTATTTACAAATTTTAATATAATAAAAAAGGGCAATCAATAAAGATACACTCAAATTATATGATCTCTTTTGTCATTTAAAATATACGCAACAATCAGCTTTTAAAGCAATTGTAGCCAATATAAAGCAAACAATACATCAATAATTAAAACTTACCTTTTTAAGTACGTCGGCGCCTTTACTCCCTTCTTTTAGCAATTCTTTCGCCTTTATTTTCTCAAAAACCTTTTGAAACTTAGAAAATCTTGCGGAAATGAAATATATTTGCAAGAAATCATCAAATGAAGAAATGTTTGCTGCTATTTCGCTGTTGTCATGCAGTCGTTATAATGCAAATTTTAAATTGGACCAATCAGTGTTCGCTATTCATGACACTATATTTTAAGATCAGCGAGGATGACCACCCGCGCACAGTAACCCACATCCATGATCATTGATGAACTTTAGACTTCGCGAATGCTTTCCTTTCGCCGGGGGTAAATAGCCGGGCGGAATTAGTACCCTCGCACGGCGCTCCGCGCCGTTTGCTCCGGGATTACAGCGCCACCCCCGCTTCGTAAACGCAACTGAATGAGCAAAAAGGTAAACAAATAATAGAATCAGAATCAAAATCACATTTATTTCACACGTATATTTTAAACTAAGAATAATATTCAGCCAAATTAGTAGTTACAAAACCAAACCCACATATTAAAATTATTATATTAAACAAACGTGTACAGTGATCAAAGTAGGAAAATGTATATATCACTGTATATATGTATCATATTATTATATACTAGAAATACATGCATGCAGTAACCCCTCGCCAGTATTTTCCAAACATTAAATAATCATGAAGTATTCAGAAATGGCCAACACTGAACTCAGGCTCGCGCTCAAGTGTTGCCATGACAACACGATATTCTTAAATTTTTAATTTTTTCACATTTTTTGTACAAAACTGCAAAATAGTTCAAAGATTCGTACTTTTAACTATACAACAATAAATTTCCGAAATATATACTGTAGGTATATTATTTTACATTTTGTGAGCTTTGATTTAATGTAAAATTTAACTTGAAACGCTTCGTAAAATGTTTTGAAATGTTCATTCAACTAAACTACATTTGCCGATAAACTGTTTTTACTTAATAAAACATAATAAGTTCAATACAAATAAAACAAATTGTTAGATAATTTCAGTTTAGTCTTCAAATCAATTTGTTCTCCTTTACATTCTAAGATTTTTTCTCAAATTAAACGGTAATTTATGAAACTTAGAGCTTCGTTAAAAAGGAAAACAGTTCATGTTTTTTGACAAAAAGTTTAAGCAACAAAATTCGGAAACATTAAATATTCAAAGCAAACTTGCCGTACATTTCACGATTTCACATAGTAAATCAATTCTTCTCAT